ATAATGGGGAATAACAAACAGGGGTATAGGTAGTCTTCAAAAATTAGCCTTTCTTTCTCTGTTGGTTTAGTTCACCACTAGGAGGAATAGATGCTGGATTCGACTGCTATGCTTACCTGTGTTAATTGTGTAAAGCTTTCAGTGATGCACAAAGTACTATTCTTTGGGCCAGCAATGCGTCTCATTAATTGTATAAATATGGTGGACAGGGATTTCTTGCAGAAGGACTTCAGAGGACATCTGCTGGCTTAGGCAGTGTAAGATGAATTTTACTTTCTAATTGCAGTTTGATGTCTTATGCTAATACTGAATTTAGAACAACAACAACTATGCCTCAGTTCCAAAACAAGTTGAGGCTGATATTGAATTTGTTAGTGTATAATTCTTTCCTTGTGAGGTTGTAACCAATATTTACGAAGACAAAACTGCGCCATAAGCAGTTCAAGGTGCTGTACAAAATTGTATTTTGCATTTAGCACCATAGCACAGAAAGTTATATTTTGTACCTGTTCTTCTATATACAGTGGCGGATCTACTCTTTGAGTTATGGGTGCTTGAGCACCCATTACTTTTAGAGCCAAATACTATTACTTGTATAAAAAACTAGTAAATTCATATAAATATATTAACCGAGCACTCAGTATCAGTAGCAATTTTTCAGATTAAAAATAATTGAGCACCCACGATTTGAAAATTCTGGATCCGCCCCTGTCTATATAGAATTCTGAAGCTCCAGCATTCAACCTTTTGAATGGGGCTTTTCTTACTGATGGGTTCAATTAATGATATATGATTTCTACTCTAATACTGCATTGAGTTTTCCTGAACATCACTCACCATGTGTTTTGGAACATTTGATTGGCATTTTTAAATTCAATAATGTTTAATGATAAGACTGACTGCTTTAGTGGTATAACCAAGTAATTACATAGAGTCAAGAGTAAGTAAAGGATCAATTAGCAATTCTCTTGAACTAATCCATGCAGCTACAAGAAAAGTAAAGTAATTGATGATATTCAAATGATAAGTTGACCTAATTTTGATGAGATTTTATTGTGATTTCAGGTGATAATAGATTCACAGCCTCTGACAGTGGCTGTGCTTGCAGCTTTGTTATTTGGTGAGTCCATAGGTTTTGTTGGAGCTGCTGGTCTAGTGCTCGGGGTGGTAGGCCTTTTGCTTCTTGAGGTAATATTATCAGAAATTACCAATCTCTATATTTATTTCACAATAATTGTGAATGGCCTTATTCTTACTCTCGAGGTAGTGGATGATAATTAACAGAATACTGATTGGTCCTTTGGTAGGTAGTTGTTTGTGCCTTAAATAAGTCAAAAAGCAGTGGTGAAGAATCTGATACCAAAGACAAAATTTTCGGTGTCAGAATTTAAAAGGTTAAGCAGATATTTAACCAAATTATGATTCTATTGGAATTCACAGTAAACTGGAGACTAGGTAGACGTCTAGACGAACATTTGTTCTTTTTCCCATTAGGTGGATAAACATCTCTTTCGTTGGGGTGAAAAAGGAAGGATAGGAGGAGATTTTGTAAAAACCATTTGGTTCGAGAATAAAAATGAAGACGTAGCTTGTTAAACCTCTTCAAATTGTAGAAAGGATGAAGTAAATCTGATTTATTATCCCTCCAGTCATACCAAACAACATGAGGGCACCATAAACACTTCGCCTTGGAGTGAATTGACCAGTCGTTCCTCTACCTTCCATCAAATTAACTGTTGAACTTCAAGTGGTGTCCACATTCTAGATTTTGCAGATGCTCAATTTTGTTTGTGGTTATGTTATCATCCGAAGACACAATGATGTTGATAGTATATATTGATTGTACAGTTTGTGTTGTTCGTCGTACACGTACTGCAGGGAACCAAGAAGCGCAATTTATAAGATTTTGAATCCATTCCCTACGTTTATATTCTATATGTAGACGAATTTTGAGAGTGCAGTTTGTTTTTCATATGTATGCATTTATGTACGTGTAATTTTAGTTCTCTTAACTGCAAAGAGGAAGAAGATGATTTTTAACGTGTTTGCAGAAATTTTTTTTTTCATTTTTTCTCTGTGTACTAGATCTTAACCTGTTGAAAGTAGAACAATCCATGACAGTTGATTTGTTTTTAATTATTCCTCCAGCTCCAGCCCAAGCCTAAATAAAACAAAAAGAAAGGAGGGAATCTCAATATCTGATTTAGGAGAACATTTTGTAGTCATAAATCCCATTCCTTGTTTTTTTTGGTATTAACTAATACTGCTCTCAAATAACAGAGTTAATTGTACAGGTACCTGCTCTTTCAGTTGATAATAGCAACTTTTCCCTATGGGGAAGTGGAGAGTGGTGGATGCTTCTTGCAGCACAAAGCATGGCTGTTGGCACAGTAATGGTCCGTTGGATTTCTAAATATTCAGACCCAATCATGGCTACTGGATGGGTTAGACATATTACTACACTTTTGATGTTTATAATATTTAGATCAGGTTTTCTACGGTCACTATCTAGAACTAGTGGTTGTATCATCAAACTGTACTCAGCTATAAAATTTGTTTTGTTCCATTTGTTGCAAAATGTAGTTGTTTGACTGCATAGATTAAACAGGAAGGAAGAAATCCCAAAATTAGCATGATAAAAAAATAATTCACACTAGTATAATTTTAACCTATCCAGTTAGCTCTATGATGATTGATGGTCATACCCCTTATCAAGTTACTGACCAGAGGCCTCTTGTTAAATGTTTAAGTTCTGCTATAGCTTGTATTCTATGCATTGCATTTATTTATTCTACCCCAAATTCGTCAACCATTCCGGATGTCTGTCTTACAAGCTGAATTTCTGAGAAGTGTGCTTTCGTTATCTTAACTGCCTCTGTTTCTTATCCAAAACAAAAAACTTCTTCTTACTTCCTTTCTCTGTATAGAAAAATATTTGTGGCCTTTTCCTAAATCCCACCACCATTCCACTGCCAAAAGTTAAGGTTGACAAAAGGGAATGGACTTTTATCTTCTTTTAACCAGTCATGAAATGTGTGTTCTTTACCTCTGCAAAAATTCCTTTTTCCTTCAATGTTGGTGGTGCATCATCTTATGAGGACTCCCTATGAAACGAAGATATCATTCTAAATGGATTAAAGCTCAGGCCCTGACTCCCCATTTCACCACCGAGACAGAAGCTTAGCACCCAGATCTAACCCAAGACAATTTGATCCTTAGAGCAAGTGTCCTCTGCTAAAAATTTGTAGGGTGGGTAGGGTGTCGGTTGGCCGTTAACCTTGGATGTGTTGTCAGGAGGTGTTTTGCGGTTGTAAAAGCAGGATTCTAACCTTTGCTGATTGGTGGGATTCTTCAAAGCCACTTGGATGCTGGGTAGCACAAAATAAATTCCACTTTTACAGCTTAATTTTATTATGAAAATTCTGGTTTTTCCATTAATGACAGTGTCTCGTGTGGCTATTCTCTTATCCACACATGCTTATCCTTACAAAATGATTTCGCTTACCAAGTAAAAAAAAATTCAGTGAGCAAACATATAACAGTGAACTGGAAACTTTTTTCATCAATATAAAAGGAAAGAGCATCAGCTCATAATTGTTGGGCCAAGAGAAATATATCTCTGTTTGAACTATTTCTGAGAAAACAAGAAAAAAGACTGCTAGGATTTGAAGACGACCCCACTAAATTCAGCGGACCTTCACTCTTAAACACACATAAGTATTTTCTTGCCAATATTGAAAGCTTATATTTATTTCTTGCTCCTCGGAAATGAGCTGATGTTTATTCAAGATTAGAATGGTTACTTGTCTTTTAGCATTGAAAATAAACGGTAGCATGACTGGCAACAATGTAATGGTTTAAGTAGAAGGTTTCCAAAGAACGGTACACTATGATTTCGATGCTCAAATACTGTGCTAACTTCATATACTTCCATTACAGCACATGGTTATTGGTGGACTCCCTCTGGTGGCTATCTCCATTCTCAATCATGACCCTGTCCTTAGTGGGAATTATATGGAGCTAACAGCGACTGACTTGTTGGCTTTGCTCTATACCTCAATCTTTGGAAGTGCCATAAGCTATGGTGTCTACTTCTACAACGCAACAAGAGGTTAGATTCAGGTCTCTGAATGTCAAACAATGCATTACACCTTATTAGTTTGTCAGTTGCGGCCAATTTTGACTAGACTAATCCATTGCAGGTAGCCTGACAAAGCTCAGTTCCCTTACCTTTTTAACTCCAATGTTCGCTTCGATTTTTGGGTAAGCATCCTATCATAAAATAAATTCCTGAACAAGCCAATGAAGTTATTTTGATCTCAATCAATGAATTGGTCATCACTTTCAACTACCTATAAGAAGAAATATTTAGGATTACTGTCCAAAGCAGTTTATGTTTGATTCGGTTTCTATCTTCACTTTTTGGTTTCTACTTTTTTGCTATCCAGATCTGCCTAATTTGTTCAACTCCGATACAGGTTCCTATATCTGGATGAGACATTCACACCCGTGCAACTAGGTGGAGCATTTGTCACAGTAGCTGCAATTTACTTGGTTAACTACAAAAGTGATGCCAAATGATATAGTCAACGGTTGAGTTATCCTCCTTGTGTCTGGAGAGAGAAGAATGCTCAGCAGCTTAATTACTCCAGTTTGCAGAAAATACATACACTGTATAGAAAAGATACCAAAATTATATCAAGCAACTGTATACCATAATATCGTGAAGCTGGAACTTGCTTGGAGGTGGTTTCCCAACCCAACTGTATACCATAATAGCGTGAAGTGTGAGCTTCAAGATGCGTATTATACTCATTAGGTGTAGACAAAACTTTTCTTGGATAAAATATCAAGGACTGAAGCTTTTGTTACTGTTAGATTCGTGTAGAGAATGCTGCTACCGCAGCATCAATTTTATCTCAGTATCAAGTTTGAAATCTGTATAAATGTGAAACTCCATTATTTAGCCCCCATTATGCCTGTCAGAGAACGTAAAAGAATAATTGCAATACAGCTGCTTTTAGTAAATGATTCTGTAGACACTGAAATGAAAATGTTGCAAAGGGCGCAATCATAACAGCAACATATTAATCCTCAAAGAAACTGCATATAACTAATAAGTTGAAGCAGCAGCAGCTGCCATAGATATTGTGTGAGGTCCTCTAGGTGTTCTGTTGCGACCTATTCCATGTTGCTGGTTGTCAGAATCCCTCGTATTTGCAGTCATTCTTCTTTTATCTTCATCCATATCATGGCCGTACTCAGATACTGTATGCTTTTGAAAGGCTAGTGGATTCACATGAAGCCTACTGTAAGATTTTGAAGGAGACCAAGAATCAGTTGAATCAGCTGAATTTAGTCCTCGGGAGGATGGGGAAAACCAACATCGCTGACCACCAACAGAACTGTTGCTTCCTGAGGATTCTGGCTCTTCTAAATAACCTCCATCAGTTCCCCTTCCGAAGGTTACATACTTCTGTATGATAGGAGACTTAATTAAGTCATCACTTAGAGCAACCTCAGATTCCACATATGGCTCTTTTATCTGTAACCTCTTTTTACCCTGAGGATTGGTTCCTAAAGAAGTATCAGTATTCTTGTTAACTTGCTCAACTGTGGGGTTTCTTCTTCTGTCATCAGAGAAAACGCTGGATAGACTGGAACTAGTGCTTGAGTTAAGGTCAGCAACTGCCTCCACTATTGAGCAAGCTTTTGTTGCACAAGGTGGGAGTGAAAATGCAGGCTTGCTGCTCTTTTGATGAAAGTTTTGGATGTCCTCAAGCAATAACTCAGTATATGATTGAGTAGGATTTGACTGATCTCCAAGACTACTGTCTAGGTCTCGGGATAGCCTCGAAGATCTGCTTCTTCTCATTCCCTGAGGCACAAGACTTTCGAATCCTAAACCAACCACATCCACTGCAGCATTTGCTGTAACTGTTCTCAATGCTTTAGCCTCCTGTGCCTGCTGCTGCTGCTCCTTGACTTTGCCATTAACATTTGTTAGGCCGTAATCTATAGTTGCTTTGCTGATGCCAAGTGTTTTCTCAGGTTCTTGCTGAACAACTTTGCCATAGCTTACATGTTCTGCATTCAGCTTCTGCATTTGAAAAAACCATATTCATGTCAAATAAATGCCAAAATCCAACTGCAAACTCAAAACTGAAGCAGAAATAAATCAGTATTGGCCTAATGCCAAAACCGTTGAAAAGAAACATAACTAGAATCATTAGCCAATTTACAAAAATTGGAAAATTTAAAACATTATTACCAGAGGATAGAAAAAGCCAACCTGAGGGTGGATATTGTTGTTGACATGCTTGAGTGCATGAAAGGGCATATGCTCAGTGACCACAGTAGTGCTGCCAATCTCACTCAGAGGATTTCTTCTGAAAGGAGAATCTTCCCTTTTCCTGGAATTGTTGCGGCTAAGGGACAAAGGCTGCTGCTGGAAATTCTTGCTCTCGCTTAATACCTTTGCACTCACCCTTGCTGGAGACCGGGACCGAGCACGAGGAGATGCAGCACCCACATTTCTCTTCACTTGAATCCTCTGAATAGAAGCTGTAGAAATCAGCTCAGTACCTGGTCTTACATTACTCCCATTAGCATCAGCAGAAGCCAAATTAGCACAATTGGAAGCAGTAACTGGTGATTCAGATCTTCTACCAGGAGATCTGCTCACCCTTCTGCTACCACCACTTGTATTCTCATTGTCAAAATCATAACTTCTCTTAGAAATAGAGTACCTTCTACTTCTATTATGGTTCTTGGTGTTATCACAAGATTCAAAGGAAAGACCTTTGTTAAGGGATGAGCTCCTGCTAAGCCTCCCACTTTGTACTAAAATAGCATCAACTTCTTCCTTTGTACAACTTGAACTCCTCCTCTTCACTGGTGCTGGTACAATAATAGTAGCATTCTTCTTGCCAGATTCCCCATTACTGTTGTTGGCATTATCTTTTGAGTCTTTAGAACATATAGACCCTTCATGGCTTATCCTGTGTTTGATAACAAAGATTTCTTTTCTCACTATTTGTCCCTCTACTTTCTTCTTTTCTACTTGCAGGGTATTTGTTTTGGTTTCTTGATTTGTGCTTGAAACTGCAACAGGAGTAGATGTAATAGAGCTCTTCTTGCTCAGACAACTCCCCATTTTCTTTTTTACCCTAAAATTAAGGAAAAGGAAAGACTTTGAAATGGTAGGGAAAAGAAGAGAAGAATGTCCAGAAAAAGAAAAGAGGCAAAGGGTCAAAACTCAAAGGGGAGGTGTGGGGTAGGGGTGGGGGAGGTGTTCCTGTTTATCTAATAAAAGAGTTACAATTGAAAATGGTGAGTTATAAAGTTGGGACAAAAAAGATGGTGATTTCAAGGGGGTTACATGAATGAGAAATGCAAGCGAGCCAATTCAAAAACAATTGACTGAGAGGGGGCGGGGGCCAGGGCCTGACTGTGTACACAGCCGTTGTTTGGAACTTATTATTAATATGTACCAAGAGCACTAATGTCACTATAATTTTAGGACTCCCTCCGTTCACTTTTACTTGTTCATAATAGACTTTGCACACTTTTAAAAATAAATAAATGAAATGAATAATTTACCATAATACTCATATTAATTAATGTATATTTTTAATAAATTTAAAAAAAATATTGAAATGAGTAATTAATATTGTGGGTATAACAAGAAAAAAGAAATTGTCTTCTCTTAATATGATAAAAGTGACAAGTAAAAGTAAAAATTTATTTTTAGAATACTGTGAACGAAGGAAGTAGGTGACAACTGGGTTAATATTCATTTCGATGATTGTGTCCTTTAATTCTTTTCTCTTTGAATTTTGCGTGAGATGGAAAACTTAGGACCCGTTTGTTCATAATTTTTTTTTCCTTTTTTTTGAATTTTTTCTTCAAAAATCTGTTTGTCCATGAAATTTTGTAGATTTTTTGAAAATGAGCTTTTCAAAAAACCACTTTTTAAAAAATTTCAATTTTTTTCCCCACTCACAAAATTGATATATTTTTTCAAACAAAATGCATGTTCAAACATAATTTCATATTCCAAATATTATTTTTTAACTTAACTCCAAATTTTTTTTTTAAATTATAATTTTTATGTCCAAACACCTACTTAAGATATAGTAATCGATTAACACGAAAGATTATCTTGTATAAACAATAAACATTACTATTGACACTTGAAAAGGTACTTGCAACCCCTTCTCAGCTGCAAATGTGCTGATTTTATTTGGATTAAGATTAACAGTCACAAGGAAAGAAAAACACTGGAGCTTAAGCCTTAAGTATAATTGTTTTAACTTACATACTGAAAATATAATTCTATCAATATATTTTAACATATTAAATTAGACTATTTAGTCAATTTTTCTTGTTACCATATTATACTCGCGCACATTCATTATCTGTTGTTATAGATAACTTAACTTGATGGTATAAAGTAGGGAGGTATGTAGGTCGAGTTGGTTTAGATTTTTTAATTATCAAATCAAATTAGTGGTGTCGGATTTTTAAATCTATAAACCAAATCGAACCAATAATGTCGGATTTTTCAATCTCGATTTTTCGGGTTTTCGGGTTGTTTTTTTTTGCCGGTAAGTCTTCATAGCACAAAATATACAACTTGTGCTCTAAATATTTCTTTAGTCCCAGTAAGATACAACTATATAATGTATTTTGCAAAAAAAATAATATAATAATATGAGATGAGTCATAGCATTGTACTAAAATATTCAATAGGAGTAACAAAGATAATAAAATCTATAAAGAAAATATTACTTACTAACTAATAAGCCATAATAAAAATTAACATAATCTAAAAGTACTATATAGGTCATGCTAAAATAAATACAATTAATACGTACTATTAATTACATAACTAAGCACTAAAGAAAAAGATAAACTATGTTATGCATTTTTCATTATAAATCAACACAAAACTTAAAAATAGATATCCAAGGGTATTGTCATTTCTAGCATTGAATTAAATTTTCTTTGTTAGGATTAGTATCGATTTGAAGTTTATTTGAATTACTACCTTTATGGGGCTATAAAATTTATTGGATCATTCAAGAATGTTAAGTCCAAACTTGAAATAATATGTTTAATGATAAAATTGGAAAAAATATTAAGAAATATTTATAATTATATTACAATAAATATTTATATGTATAAAATATTTTTAAAAATTATATAAATGTAATGTTAGGTTAGTTTAGTTTAGTTTGCTTTTTTTTTTTTTTTAGTT